GTTAGTACTGGGCGGAACAAAGATGCCCTGCTTAGTTCTTTCATGTTTGCCTGAAACATAAAAAGCTCTCAACTTTTTTTCTCCCTGTAATCTGGTAGGCTAGCAATGCTTTCCCTGACAAATGAGGCTGTGTCTCTAGGTAAGCCTGAGTGTGGCTTCAGAATCTGATAGAATAATGGTTCTCCTCTTTGCTGGTCTGTTTCCTGAAATGCTTCCTCATTTTAAGTCTCCAATTCTTACATTTCTGTACCCCCTGTGAGAGCTCTATTCTCACTGTTGTCAGCAGAAGCAGTTGCTCAGTGTGGTGCAGCGAGCCTGATGGATGGCTTTAATTCACTGGTCCCAGACTGCCTTTATGATTGCTCAGGTCCTGGAGAGAGCTGGCCACTCAAGGCAGCAATCACTGCCTCTGTGTTTCAACATCTGCCTCAACAGCCAGAGGGCATGGAGATTGGAGCCATGGAGGAGGAATAGAAACAGATATTTCTCGTGATTTCTGCAGCGCTGGCGGATGGCAGAGTGGGAGAGAAGGTCTTAGCGTTATATCGTAACTGACCACAATCTCCCATTTGACATCATTTCAAGATCAGGATGAAACAGGGGTGGTCCCCTTGTCATGAAGTGACATCAGACAGAAAACACAGACAACTCTTCTCCAAATTTAAGTTTAGGAGAATGTTTAATTTGGATATATAGAGTGGGATATCTCCTTGAAAGAAAGGTCTCTGTCAGTTATAATTTCTTTACTATCCTGAGTCTAGGTTAAATTCTCCTCATTTTTATTTCCTTTTATTAATTAATTTTACTTACTTGTGTTACATTATTTACTGCTATACACACCCTTATTGCTACTCACAAATATGCCAGGAAAATGACCAACTGGCTGTAACTGGGCCAACTGTATAATACTGGGCAGGACCCTTCTACTCACTTAGCTTGTGTTTGAAGTGACTGAATTAGTAAGAGTGACAACTTACTCTTTAGGATGAGTTTATCAAACTACCTCCTTGTTGTCTAATTGCATATTACAGTTTAGCTTAGTGACATTTGTTATTTAAGAAGAATGTGGAGATGAGAGCAATTCATGACTAAACCAGAGTAGTGTTTATCATAAATTGGATCATCATAACCAGGCTATGGAGAGCACTTCATAGTTTACAAAGAATGTTCTCATCTCTGATTTTCATTGATTCCTCATGAGAGCACTATGGGAAAGATTGGTCTCAGGATTAATATTATTCTCATTTTACAGTGTAAGACTTGTGATTAAAAAAGTAGATCCCAGGATTTGGAATCAGTGTTTCTACAATTTTAGTCCTTTTAGCATTTCCAGCAGTTACACTGTGCTTTCCTAAGGGACAAACTTATAAATGAGGCTATATTGGCACTAGGCAAAATCTGGACAAAGAGCAAATTGAAGAATTCAGAGAGCTATCTCAGGCTCTTTCTAGCAGACCTTGTCTGGCTCAAAGTGTTTGCTTCTTCCTTGTCAATTGCTGTGACTCATGGCTCTGCAGAACTGCAGGCTCAGCATTGCCCCAAACTCTGGAACTCATCTGACCACAGGACAGAGGAGTTTCCATAGCTACAGGCAAACATTCTGGGACAATCATATTGCCCTTCTTGCTGTGCCAGCCTTGATCTCATGCCACACTTACAATAACTGGGCCTTGTTTCTGAAACAGCTACTCCCACCATTCTCCAGTTTTGTTTCAGAGCCTTATCTTCTTATTTTTAAGTTCCTGTTGTATAACCTGCCAAGCACTTCCAAGACCTCTAGTGGTCAACTCCTTTTGTGAATCAAGTTCTTTTGGGGAATGCAACTCTGCCCATTCATTTATGTATTTGTCTATGACTGCTTTAATGCCACAAAAAGCACAATTGAGTAGTTTCAACAGAAACCATATGGCCTGGAAAGCCTAAAGTATTTACTGTCTGGCCAATTAGAGAAAATGTTTGCTGACCTTTGCCCTAGGACTGTGCTATGCTTTGCTCTTGCAGTTTACATTCTCTGGTACTTGAGTCTTATGTTAAGCCTAGCACAGTGGCTGGGATGCTGAAGCCCAAAAGAGATTTCCCTTATGTCTGTTTGTATGCTGGCTTGCCTGCTCTAGCCTACACATACCATCTATCCCTGGATTCCCGCTAACTGTATTTGGCCCTGCTCTAGGCAGGACCCCATCACCTTATGTTTGTTTCCCTCTTCCCATGCTCACTGCTTGCCTGGGACACCATTTACATTTTTAACTGCCATTTAAACGAGTTCTACTTGTGGAATTAGGCTTCCTCCCCTACTCTACATCTGTGTCTGTTCTATCCTCTCAGAGCCTACTATTCAGTGTCCTGCAAGTCTCAATGGATAGATCGGTTTCCAAGTCCTGTCTCCTTCTGGTATGCTCATTCCAAATGAAGTCAGCTATATTCAGATTTCTCTGGGTCACTCTTCCTACTCATTTCTGGGAGAGAGCAGGACAGATTGAAGTTAGTTTAGACAAATTTCTCTTAGAGCCGGTACACCAGTATCTCCAATATATATAGCTCCAATACGGCAGGTTCTTGGGACCATAGGAGACGTAGAATCACATGTGCCTTAAAAAAATCCAGTTAAATTGAGATCTAAAAACATAAGGACCTGACCATCATAGGTGCTAGGCATACATGTATTTCCTTTTGGCCTTTTCTCATGGATGAGTATTATTCTCCACCCTCTATCCTCCCCGTCCTTATTCCTGGTAATGGAACTTGATACTTATTGCACAGGATCACCAAAGCTCCTCACTGAAAACAAACAGAAGCACATAAGTTTATAATTCAAAGCATGATTTGAGTTTTACAAGTAGTTTTCTACAACCTCACGCATCTTCGTAATTGTGTGATGAAGCACATTTGTATCCTAGTAGAAATTCTAACAATGAGCTGATTGTATAAAGTTTCCATGGTAGACAATCTTGAATTCATCAGAAGTAAATAATGTTCTCGGTGCCCTTAAATCAATGGAGTTGATTTAAAAACAAGTGTGTTTGCCCCATCGTCCCATTAAAGATGACTATATAGGTGACCACCATCTCCCCAAATCTGACACCGTATTGATTTTCCCTCCTGTTGGCTGCACACATGAATAGATGACATGTTTGCTCAGTGTGAAAAGTAAGTTTCACTAAGGTAACCATAGTTTCATTGTCTCTTTTGTGCATTTAATAACTTGGTGACCTGGTAAAGAGATTCAGATCACTGGCCTTTGTTCTTCTTATCACTGGGCTGTTTTCTCAATCTAACAGTATTTCTGAACACCTTTATTTTCAACACATTTAGAATTTAAAAACACCCTCTCCCCCACATGTAACTTTTCTAGTTTGGTTTGGTAAGAAAAAAAATTGTAGCTCCTTAAAGCAGAATAATATGTTATCTAAGTAAGAATGATATATTTTTTCTATTTCCCAGTTTTGTGGAAAATTTAGGCAAATCAAAAGTAGGCTAAAACATCATTTGTGAACCAGAATGTTTGGCACCTTTAAGATTGCTGAAGGTTTCTCTGAACTTAGAAATCATACTGAGGTGGACCAAGGCTTTGTAAAATCTTAAACAAAATCCCTGAATATTTGTATTAGGTACAGATCTTTCTGAACTACTTGGCATACATTTCTCCTTCCTATAGCAGATTTTGGGAATATTGAGCAAAGATCAAGGTTGGCTACTTATCAAACACTTCTATATAACTGTCTCTGAGTTGTAATGAAAACATAGAATTTGATTTGTGGGGTTGTGCCCACAGTGAGGTGTTTTCCTACAGGCCATTTAACATATGAAGAAGATTATTTTACAATCAGGCTTTTAGTTCTGATAAATATTGTGTTTGTTTGGAGATAGCTAGATGGAGAGACTTAGTAGCACACACTCAAGTCCTTTTCCTTTCTTGGATTGTAGATGTATTAGATGAGAAGGGATTTGGAGATTTTGCAGATGAGAGAACTGAGGCCCAGAGACAGAAAATCACTTGCCTAAGACAGTCATTTGGTAGACAGCCAAGAATTGAACCCAATTTAGTAGTTTTTCATTTGTACCATTTTACTTCCCTTCTTTTTTGTCCACTAGGTTTTATTTTGATAAGGTGATATGACAAGTAAGAAATCTCTGAAGACTGTATACTCTATCTGAATATTTACCACAGGATGTGGGTGAAATTACCTCATTTTACAGACAGATATTTGCCAGATCTCCTTCTATGGACTGGCTATTCTGGCCTTCCAATAACTTCTTTGATCTAGTTCAGAAAGTATTAAGCACTGGAATTCTTACAAGTATTCTGAACCAAGATGCACTTTGTAAGTTCACCTTTGCTAGAATGCAAATCAGTACAAAATGGCTCACTTAATTTATGTTTCTGTCAACAGTGTGTTTCTCCTGATTACCTGCCCAGACTATGTGAGGAGATGGTTGAGATTCTGAGTAGTCTCTATTTGTGTTGAAGAGGCCACTGGTAATTGCATACGTGCCTCCCTCTATCAACAGTCTTACTTAGTACATCACCTAAGAGAAGGTCCAAGATTATGGTCTGTGAATTTCAAGCACAATCATTTTTCTGTTTTATTGGGTTGGCCAAAAAGTTTGCTCGGGTTTTCTATGTTATGGAAAAGCCCGAATGAACTTTTTGGCCAACCCAATATTTGGAGAGAGGGCACCAGGAACATTTTGCTTTCTTTCTATTTTGTGTCTAAAATATGTATCTGCATGGAGCTGTACACTAATTTGTTTATTAAATATTTGCAGTAGGAATTACAGAAGTGGAAAGGAACATTTAGATGGCTGGTTTTCAAAGACATTTATTTCACCAGTAGCCCTTTTCTTACATACAGTGATAATGTGCAATATAGATTACTTGAAACATGGGTTGGGAATCTGGATTTCGGCCTACTTGCTCTCCTAATGTAAACATAATTTGTAAGTTTTACTGAGCTTTGAGATTTCTATGAAGAATGATTTTACAAATCTTTGTCTTATAGATTGGAGTACTAAGGAACAAACTGGTCTAAGGCCTACCAGGCGGTTAAGAGCACATTTGACACTGGGACCCAGGTATGAATTGATAACAGTTCAGAGCTCTTTATTCTACTTCTGAACAAGAGAGTGGGATGCCAGTGAATGAAAACTGAGATATCACATTTTGAATAATTGAGCAGCTCACAGTGCATAAATTAAAATGCTCATTGTTAAATTATTATGTAAAATTAAATAAATGCTGAGCCCATGACAATTATCACTTTCTACCATTATAAAAGCACATGATGAAACTTTTTTTTTAAGGAATTTTGCCTTTTTATTTTTTTAAATTTTATTTATTTATTTATGGCTGTGTTGGGTCTTTGTTTCTGTGTGAGGGCTTTCTCTAGTTGAGGCAAGTGGGGGCCACTCCTTATAATGGTACGCGGGCCTCTCACTATTGCGGCCTCTCTTGTTGAGGAGCACAGGCTCCAGACGCGCAGGCTCAGTAATTGTGGCTCATGGGGCTAGTTGCTCCGCGGCATGTGGGATCTTCCCAGACCAGGGCTCGAACCCGTGTGCCCTGCATTGGCAGGCAGATTCCCAACCACTGCGCCACCAGGGAAGCCCATGATGAAACTTTAAATACTTGGTGTCAATGACTTATTATCTCCTAAAGGAAAAGATGTATGTAACAATACAGAAAGTGTCACAACACAGATTATAAACTACCAAAAGTAAAACTAAATTTTTTCCACATTTGAAAGATTATGGAAATAATTTCAATTTGCTTATATTCAGCCTCATAAAAATTTTACTTATAGACTGACTTTCTCCACATCACCAAAATGAGCAGTACAGATTCATTACCATCTTTAATTAATATGTACTTCTTTTAAAATTAATTTTGATTGGAGTATAGTCGCTTTACAATGTTGTGTTAGCTTCTACTGCACAGCAGAATGAATCAGCCATATATAAACATATATGCCCTCCCTTTTGGATTGCCCTCCCATTTAGGACACCACAGTACATTAAGTAGAGTTCCCTTGCTATACAGCATGTTCTCATCAGTTGTCTAATTTATACATAGTATCAATAATGCATATGTGTCAATCCCTATCTCCCAATTCCTCCCACCCCACCCCTTTCCCCCGTGGTATCTATACATTTGTTCTCTACCTCTGTGTCTCTATCTCTGCTTGGCAAATAAGATCATCTATACCATTTTTCTAGATTCCACATATATGCATTAATATACACTATTTGTTTTTCTCTTTTGACTTATTTCACTCTGTATGACACTCTCTAGGTCCATCCACATCTCTACAAATGACCCAATTTCGTTCCTTTTTATGGCTGAGTAGTATTCCATTGTATATATGTACCACATCTTCATCCATTCCTCTGTTGATGGACATTTAGATTGCTTCCATCTCCTGGCTATCGTAAATACTGCTGCTATGGACATTGGGGTACATGTATCATTCTGAATTATGATTTTCTCAGGGTATATGCCCAGTAGTGGGATTGCTGGGTCATATGGCAGTTCTATTTTTAGTTTTTTGAGGAACCTCCATACCGTTTTCCATAATGGCTGTATCAATTTATTTTCCCATCAACAGTGCAAGAGGGTTCCCTTTTCTCCACACCCTCTCCAGCATTTATTGTTGGTAGATTTTTTGATGATGACCAATCTGACCAGTGTGAGGTGATAACTCATTGTCGTTTTGATTTTTAGTTCTCTAATAATAAGTGATGTTGAGCATCTTTTCATATGTTTGTTGGCCATCATTATGTTTTCTTTGGAGAAATGTCTATTTAGGTCTTCCGCCCATTTTTTGATTGGGTTGTTTGGTTTTTTTGAGTGACCTGCATGAGCTGTTTGTATATTTTGGAGATTAATCCTTTGTCAGTTGCTTGGTTTGCAAATATTTTCTCCCATTCTGAGGGTTGTCTTTTTCATCTTGTTTATGGTTTCCTTTGCTGTACAAAAGCTTTTAAGTTTCATTAGGTCCCATTTGTTTATTTTTGTTTTTATTTCCATTACACTAGGAGGTTGAACAAAAAAGATCTTGCTGCAATTTGTCTCAGAGAGTGTTCTTCCTATGATTTACTCTAAGAGTTTTACAGTTTCTGACCTTACATTTACATCTTTAATCCATTTTGAGTTTATTTTTGTGTATGGTATTAGAGAGTGCTCTAATTTCATTCTTCTGCATGTAGCCATCCAGTTTTGCCAGCACCACTTATTGAAGAGACTGTCTCTTATCCATTGTATATCCTTGCCTCCTTTGTCATAGATAAGGTGACCATAGGTGCATGGATTTATCTCTGGGCTTTCTATCCTGTTCCATTGACATATATTTCTGTTTTTGTGCCAGTACCACATGTCTTGATTACTATAGCTTTGTAGTATAGTCTGAAGTCAGGGAGCCTGATTCCTCCAGCTCCGTTTTTCTTTCTCAAGATTGCTTTGGCTATTCACGGTCTTCTGTGTTTCCATACAAATTGTGAAATTTTTTGTCCTCGTTCTGTGAAAAACGCCATTGGTAATTTGATAGGGACTGCATTGAATCTGTAGATTGCTTTGGATAGTATAGTCATTTTCACAATATTGATTCTTCCAATCCAAGAACATGGTATATCTCTCCCTCTGTTTGTGTTGTCTTTGATTCCTTTCATCAGTATCTTATAGTTTTCTGCATACAGGTCTTTTGTTTCCTTAGTTAGGTTTATTCCTAGGTATTTTATTCTTTTTGTTGCAGTGGTAAATGGGGTTGTTTCTTTAATTTCTCTCTGATCTTTCATTGTTAGTGGATAGGAATGCAAAAGACTTTTGTGTGTTATTTTTGTATCCTGCAACTTTACTAAAGTCATTGATTAGCTATAGTAGTTTTCTGGTGGCATCTTTAGGATTTTCTATGTATAGGATCCTGCCATCTGCAAACAGTGAGAGGTTTACTTCTTCTTTTCCGATTTGGATTCCTTTTATTTTGTTTTCTTCTGTGATTGTCATGACTAGGACTTCCAAGACTATGTTGAATAATAGTGGTGAGAGTGGACCCCTTGTCTTGTTCTTGATCTTAGAGGAAATGCTTTCAGTTTTTCGCCATTGAGAATAATGTTTGCTGTGGGTTTGTCATATATGGCCTTTATTATGTTGAGGTAGGTTCCCTCTGTGCCCACTTTCTGGAGAATTTTTATCATAAATGGGTGTTGAATTTTGTCGAAAGTTTTTCTGCATGTATTGAGATGATCGTATGGTTTTTCTCCTTCAGTTTGTTAATATGGTGTATCACATTGATTGAACTGCGTATATTGAAGAGTCCTTGCATCCCTAGGATAAATCCCACTTGATCATGGAGTATGATCCTTTTAATGTGCTGTTGGATTCTGTTTGCTAGTATTTTGTTGAGGATTTTTGCATCAATGTTCGTCAGTGATATTGGCCTGTAGTTTTCTTTTTTTGTGGTATCTTCATCTGGTTTTGGTATCAGGATAATGGTGGCCTCATAGAATGAGTTTGGGAGTGTTCCTTCCTCTGCAGTTTTTTGGAAGAATTTGAGAAATAGGTATCTTCTCTAAATGTTTGATAGAATTCACCTGTGAAGCTATCTGGTCCTGGGCTTTTGTTTGTTGGAAGATTTTTAATCAATTTCAGTGCTTGTGATTGGTCTGTTTATATTTTCTATTTCTTCCTAGTTCAGTCTCAGAGGGTTGTGCTTTTCTAAGAATTTGTCCATTTCTTCCAGGTTGTCCATTTTATTGGCATACAGTTTCTTGTAGTAATCTCTCATGGTCCTTTGTATTTCTGCAGTGTCAGTTGTTACTTCTCCTTTTCCACTTCTAATTCTATTGATTTGAGTCTTCTCCCTTTTTTTCTTGATGAGTCTGGCTAATGGTTTGTCAATTTTGTTTATCTTCTCAAAGAACCAGCTTTTAGTTTTATTGATCTTTGCTATTGTTTCCTTCATTTCTTTTTCATTTATTTCTGATCTGATCTTTATGATTTCTTTCCTTCTGCTAACTTTGGGGTTTTTTGTTCTTCTTTTTCTAATTGCTTTAGGTATAAGGTTAGGTTGCTTATTTGAGATTTTTCTTGTTTCTTGAGGTAGGATTGTATTGTTATAAATTTCCCTCTTAGAACTACTTTTGCTACATCTCATAGGTTTTGGCTCATCGTATGTTCATTGTCATTTGATTCTAGGTATTTTTTTATTTCCTCTTTGATTTCTTCAGTGATATCTTGCTTATTTAGTAGTGTATTGTTTAGCCTCCATGTGTTTGTATTTTTTACAGATTTTGTCCTGTAATTGATATCTAATCTCATAACGTTGTGGTCAGAAAAGATGCTGGATACAATTTCAAATTTCTTAAATTTACCAAGGGTTGTTTTGTGACCCAAGATATAATCTATCCTGGAGAATGTTCCATGAGCACTTGAGAAGAAAGTGCATTCTCTTGTGTTTGGGTGGAATGTCCTATAAATATCAATTAAGTCCATCTTGTTTAATGTATCATTTAAAGCCTGTGTTTCCTTATTTATTTTCATTTTGGATGATCTGTCCATTGGTGAAAGTTTGGTGTTAAAGCCCCCTACTATGATTATGTTACTGTCGTTTTCCCTTTTTATGGTTGTTAGCATTTGCCTTATATATTGATGTGCTCCTATGTTGGGTGCATAAATATTTACAATTGTTATATCTTCTTCTTGGATTGATCCCTTGATCATTATGTAGTGTCCTTCTTTGTCTCTTATAATAGTCTTTATTTTATAGTCTGTCTTGTCTGATGTGAGTGTTGCTACTTCAGCTTCCCTTTGATTCCTATTTGCATGTAGTATCTTTTTCCATCCCTTCACTTTCAGTCTGTATGTGTCCCTAGGTCTGAAGTGGGTCTCTTTTAGACAGCATATATATGGGTCTTGTTGTTGTATCCATTCAGGCAGTCTGTGTCTTTTGGTTGTAGCACTTAATCCATTTACATTTAAGGTAATTATTGATATGTATGTTCCTGTTACCATTGTCTTAATTGTTTTGGGTTTGTTATTGTAGGTCTTTTCCTTCTCTTGTGTTTTCTGCCTAGAGAAGTTC